GGAAAGGGATTTGAAGAGCCGGCCAAGGTAGGAAACTGAAACTTCACAGGAATATTTGTACCCCTTTGTGAGCCAAACATTTCAAATTTAGCTCGAACGCACGCGCAAGTCATGTGTGTGGACAAGTCAAAGATGCGATTTCACAACAGCTGGCAAAATGTCAGCTCGTATGCTAGGATGAGGAGGTTCCTTTGATTTTGAGAATATTTGCTATGTGCAAGTCCTTGTGCGTGAAATGAGCACTCGAGCATTATAAACTATAGGCATGACATACTACTTCTTGCAGGAAAACGTTTTTGGGAGCCAGTTGAGTCAGGAAGCTGAAATTTCTTGAGGATATGACAATGCATGCGAATCCGTGCAATCTCACTATCGCACGAAATCGTGCAAAAACGTATGATCGTACCAGCGAACCTGATTCTCCCACAGTAAAACACGAAGGTAAAAGACCTCCCGGGTGGATCCTACAACACATTGTTCAAAAATACGAATTTGCTAAAACAATTTTTTTTTTATGTCGTATGCCTTCCCGAAGTAATACTGAATAGGTCTGTAATTTTAAGACAAATAAATTGTGTTGTAACGTTATTATTACTAGCAAAAAAACCAAAACCGCTCAGGGTATCAGTGTGGATATCCCCTGCTAGCGATGTTACCGGGATGCTCCCCACGCGTCCAGCGCAGCTATGTCAGGCCCTTCGATCTACAGCTGTATACCTTCTATTTACTACCCCGCCTGTTCAGTGCATGTGCACCACCTCTTCGGGGGCCGCTGCCACCATCCAGTCGTTTACTTTCAGTTGGGTACCACTCACTAATGCCCATTAGTGGGCAACACGCACTATTCACCGATTTCACTTTCTCGCGTGATCGCAATGATGTCCTTCACGCCGCTCATCTGAAAGACAGTTAGCTTATGTCGCCGCGGAGAGGTATGCGAAGTATCCTTTGTTCTTTTGCTCCCTCCGTCACTGCCAGCGCTCGCTTTTTAGCTTTTATGAGTGACCACGTCTCGTATCCGTGGAGGCATTGCCTTCAGCACAAAGGTATTGAAGTGCTGCGCACGGACCTTCCGATTCAACATTTTGACCGCATCGGCGATGTTGTAGAATTTGCGCCAAGCCACCACCTTTCGATGTGCAGTTTCCAGCTGGAAATTGAGGTACACGTTTATTTCCCACCCAAAATAGACGTAGCTGTCATCTTTTAAGTCCATACCTCTTCACAGTTTATCCACAGGAATACCAGGATTTTGCATCATCTTTGTCCTCAATGCGCTATTTTTTAAGCCCTCTTCTTCGTGTGCTGAACTCCTGTAGCGTTTCCTTTATTTCGCGAGAGTTGTTGGCAATAGGAACCATTCTCAAAGTGTATGTGAACGACAA